TACCGTAATATCTGTTCAACTAAAAAGGGACACATTTTACATGGAAAAAGGCAATTTGTGACCACTCATAATTTTGGTGACATTTTTGTTTAGTGCGTGTGGTAAGAGTTTTCGAAAGTAAAATGAGTGCCTTGGCTAAATAAAGATTGAGAAACACTGTTTAAAACAAGTAAAGTTCCCGACTACAATAAAGAGACATTGGTACAAAACAGTAGAACCGTACATCAAAAGATATATATTCATATTTTCAATCCATTCTAAGAATTGAAAAAAAAATCAATTGCAGCGTCATGACGCAACAGATTCGTCATGAAAAGTTTTAAATTCACTGTGCATTCAGAACTGATGAGTTCTTGATAGATAATATTACCAAATAATCATAAGTAGATCAGTGCATGTTGCAGATATAAATCATGACGTTTTATATTGTCAGGACAGTTGTAGCACTTGGGAATTCATGTCATTCATACCTTCTTTATGAATTGCCACGCTGCATTTTTATTTAATGGACTTTTCTGACATTTAGTGGTATAAAATAGTACTGCACCGTCGAGGTGGCTCGAATGGCACTGTGGCCTCGACGGGGCGCCACAAAACCAGAAAAAAAAACCGTCACTTTCAAATATAATTATATTACATATAAACGAGTGAGTACAATTAACTTCTTTAGATGAAACCAAATTCAAATGTAAAAAACATGCCCAATTAATATTAATACAAATGACAATACCAAACAATAGCTCACTAGCATTATCATCAGTTGTACTCTGTCAGTCATTTATTACAGTGGGCGGTTAGGTTGACATTTCATGCTTACAGCAAACTACTAGTTTTATATTTCTTTTCGCTTGGCAGCATGGAGTGGTCTGAACAATTATGGTGGACGATTTGTAGCCTGGAAAATGTGTGTAACAAATTTACGCTAGTTGTATTTACATGTTGTTAGCTAACATTTTTTTTGCTTTTAAAAATGAATTCCCACTTTGCCATTCTCTGGACGGGAGAAACGGTTAGCTTAGCGCAAGCTAACTGGAAGAACAGAACAGTGATGGGTTTAAAACTTTACCAGAAGTGAGAAAACATACCCTGCGTTCTGCCGGTGTACAGCAGATGATCCTGGAGGTTAAAGTAAATTATTTTAAGTTACCTGAAAGGAAAACCTGTCCGTAGGTCGCAGAAGTCCACTTGTTTCCCAAAAATTGAAAGGCTTAGCAAAGTGCTCTCGACAAAATATGATGTACATAAAGCGCTATGTATATATATATATATATATATATATATATATATATATATATATATATACATATATATATAAGTGCAATCTATTTACAGTTTACCTTTTATGATCAAATTGGACTTTTCATTTTTTGGGGACTATAATGATGTGGTTGAACTATGTCGACTGCTAGATTTTGAGAGCGACGGTTTTCATCCATGGGTCCGCGAGTGTTAAACCCCATGTCTGTACATCACCTTCCTGACGTGGAAGAGATCGCAAAAAGAAATCCAGAGGCTTATATACTTGTCTTGAAGCAATTAAAGTCAATTTTCCATCATATGTTTAAAGAATCACATGTTGTATTTTATTCTCATAACTGAAGCACCAAATGATTAAACCATCTGTTAAATCAGCTGTCCTCATGCTTTATTTGAGTTTTTGTGAATTTCTGTGATTAATGTTTCAGTCAAATTCAGCCAACAGGGTTCACTGAATAGAAGTCCGTGTGCAACCCTCTGCTGTCACACTGCATGCAATTACTATTAACCCTTTCGTGCACCCTGTAACCTGATAACATGATAAACTGTCCACCATAGTAACCGCTGTCGACGAAAGGGTTAAAAAGGTGTATGATTATTTTTTATTTTACACCCAATCAGATGTGAAAGAACATTTACTTAAATAACTTTAGTTTATCCTGTTACTGTAAATGTGTGTCAGTTTCATTTTACTACCACATGAAAAAATATTCTGCAATTTTAATGTCACTGAAATTGAAAAGGCCTGTTTAAAGTTGAACAGAGTGGACAACGTGAAACCAGGCCGTCGTTGTTGTAATTCATAAATGGTGCCGGTCTGATAAATAGTGCTGTTGTCATCTGGGCTTTCAAGAGCCCCATTTGTCAACTTAGTTCTCACTTCTGGCTCAAGGAGTGTTGAGAGAAGAAGAATTTAAGCGAAAAAAATGAACGCAGTGTTATTTCAAGTAAGCCAACCAGGGATGGATTGGAGAGATTTCGTGGGCCGAAATCAGTCATTGACAGACCGGCCCACTTCATGCACGCCACATGTGTATGTATACGTGTACACATATACCTGTATGTGTGTGTGTATGTATATATATATAGATATAGATATAAAACGTCCTCGTCGTTTTTTGCCCTCTAATTTAGCTCACGTTCTCTCTCAAAAGTTGTTTTTACCTGGCGTTTTGTATGTAAGAACTGTCCAAGGACATTTGCTTTTGTCGGCTTTTAACAGTCCTTCGAAAATGTCCAAGGCAAACATCGGCATAGTGAGCGATCGCCCGACTTGTGAACACTTTTTCTGGGTGTTTCCCATTTACGTCAAACTATCGGAACACCTCATGGCCAGAGGGGCAAATGACGTGGACGCTGTGTCGACACTGATCTATTTACCTATTCACACAGATCGACACGTCCGGTAGAGGTCCCTCTCAGCCAATGGGATGCCAGGAAGATGCTCGGTAATAGCCAATGGCAGAGCAGCTATAAGTATGTTGCGTTCAGGAAACTCGGAGCTGCAAGAAGCAGTCGATACAGTATTTTTACCTTTCATATCTTGAAATTTCTTTCATAACAAGAGGCAATATTTTCCTGTTGAGACGTTTCGTAACTTGAAAATTTCGTATCAAGAGACGTTCGTAAGTAGAGGTACCACTATATAAAGTTACGTGCTCCCGGTGCTTGCAAGCCTTGCACAAAGTTCAGGGCACTCTTCATCAGTCATGATAATCATTTGTATCAACATTAAACAAGCCTCGACACTTTTGCTGATCGTCATCATTTGGACATACACCATGACCAGCTTTGGGAATGTCTCAAAGTGTTTGTAAATGTGAGAAATTTATCTGAGGCAAATCCATGCCCTGTATTTTTTGGAAACACATATTTCTACATGTTTTTCTTTTCTGCAGTCCTGAGGTTGAATTTCCTCGCAACCCTGCAACTTGTACTTTTCCGAATGCGAGATTGAATGCTTCTTCATGGTGCATCACCAATCAGCACCGGCGCGCAATTGTAAATCATTTCAAATTATTTAGTTAGGAAAGCAAAACAAGACCCTGCAGGGAAATGTGGAAAAGTCTTGAGCTGGCTGAGTTGATCTTGGCATGGTGCGCTGCAATGAGAGCATGCCCCTTCCTGGTCAAGAGAAATTGCTCCAATTTGGGTCATAGTAAAAAGTTCATCCAAGAGCAGAAAAGATTGTGAAAGGACACATTCCAAAAAACCCAGGTTTCTTAGTTTCACCTCGTAACATAAACCTTTTATTGAAGTCTGACCACTTTTTCGCTGCTTCAGGCAATTTTTACTTCCAAATATTAAGGACAGATGAGATCCGTTTTTGCTTTTGTTTTTTTAACCGTGTGGTGGATCCGCTCTCTTTCTGTTCCTATTTTCCATCATGTCAGGACAGCAACTTTTTTCAGTTGCCAGCTTAATACAACAGAGATTGACAAATTCACTTATTAACGCCAACTCTGTAACAAAACCACTCATGAGGCAAAGTGGTATTTATTATTACTCTGACATCTACAGTATATATGTTGGTGATCCAGTTATAGTCATCACATACAGTACAGTACAATTCTCTCGTCACACGCTCTTTCACAACTGTATTTAGTTTACACGATATACAGTAAATATTCCCATCCCCGGAATTCTATGAAAAGGAATTTCCTTCACCCGGAACAAAAACCCGTGCATTAACATTTTGACTACGATATTACATGTTACCGGAACTTACGTCAGCGGAAATTCCACTACCCGTAACCTGGATTGAGACGTCATGCCGCGGGAGCTTAAATACACGCAACGCCCACCCGATGCTACGGAACGAAGACACTGAGACACATTTTCACTTTGCGTTTTTCGATCATCAGATTCGAAACGACGACGTGTAAGTGAGTTTTTATGGGCGTGCGTTTTACTGTAATTGTGAATGATTTTAACTTTATTCATTTAACGTCCTGTAGAACGCGGTACTAGCTTAAAAGCAGCACCCACTCGACACGACCGAAGAAACATGTTCGCTTCGCCGTTTTCATTCATCAGATTCGAAACGAAGACGTGTAAGTGACTTTTTATTGGCGTGCGTTTTACTGCAATTGCGAAAGATTTTAACTTTATTCACTTACGTCGTGTAGATCATGGCATCGAAACGTAGAAGAACTGTAATGACTGGAGCGGAGCGAGTGAAATGCATCCGTTTGAGCGAGGATGGACACAAAGTTAAAAGCATCCAGCAGACACTTGGAGTCGGAAAGACGCAACTCTACGAAACTTTAAAAAACAAGGCATCGATTCAACTCCTGATGACAAGCCACCATCCAGCGAGGAAGCAATGCAAATGGCAACAAATCCATCAGTATGCACAAGAATTACCAGACATCGGTGATCAACGGGACAGTTACTTGCAACTAGCAAGAAAACTGTATGACATGCAGGCAAACATTGACATAAACCAAAGAATGCATCCAACAAAACAATCCAAAATAGACACATTTTTTTCCCAAGACAGAAAAAAAATAAACATTAAAATACTGTACGTATTTTACTGTTGCGATTTTTTTGGATACACCTGTATTGCAGTTTTTGTTCTATAAACAGTTTTTGGACAGTATATTTTTGTATTTTATTGATTGTGTTGTTACATGTGCATTTTGTCAACATACTTGCAGGTTCATAAAGGACATGTACCATGCTCATTTCCCAAATGAGGAATTTCTGTTATCAGGACAAATTGGACAGCGCAAACACGAGTCCGCACTAGAGAATATTTACTGTACTGTACTTAGTATTGTATACAAAAGAATACGTCGTAAAGCATAGAGGTCAATAGAGGGCGCTGAAGCACCACCCTCCTGATAAACTCAATCACCTTGAAACACAAAAATTAAATTACGAAAATACGTTAAAATATATGTAAATATATTTAAGGATACATAGTATTCAGTTAATAGAGAGTAAAAGTCATTATTTTATCGCTGGCGTCTTCCAGTTTGGGCGCATGGAACATCGTCAATGGCCCAAAATGTGACATGCGCAGCAGGGGCTCATGCAATACACAAATATTGTGCAGCGTTTGGCCCAGATTTCTATCGACCACAGCCAATAATGGTTAAACGGAGTTGCCGTAAGAGCTAATGTCATTTCTTTTCCGAATCTGAGCAGCTTTTGCTCTCGACATGAATTTGCCCCATACAGTAGGGCCACCACCACATATTGTAATATGAGGCTCGGTCAGCCAGGATTGCTTCTTCATATTCAAGTCAGAAGTTTTTTTTTTGTTTTTTTTTATTTTTCAGGAGGGTATGCAAAGTCTCGAGTTAACCGACTGATTTTTGCCAATTTGAAAATAAGCGGTTTGGATGATGGATGGATGGATGGATGAAACAAGTTAACATCAGCCGTCCTAATCAGTCCGCTGTTTCCTTGAAGTCTTTTCGCTGAAAATGAAAAATACACTTTGGGCCCAAAATTTGGTGTGACAAACTGTCCTTAATTTCACTCCTTTCACAATAAGCAGCAGTTGGGTGAATATTGGACATCTGAAATGACTAGATTCATTGCAATTATAGGTTGGGAAATGTTCTTAAACTGTTGCACGATTTTCTCACGCGATTATTCACAAAGTGGTCAACCTCACCACAACCTTGCTTCTGAGCAACTGAGCCTTTCGGTGATGATCCTTTTATACCCACTCACGACACTCTTGTTTCCAATGAACTTGTTCCTGAACAGGATAAGCAACTCTGGCAGAGCCAGGGGATGGCAAGGGCTGTCAGCCACCATCCCCACTAAATACCTCGTCACCCAAGTTGCCACCCCTACTGTTGGCAATGAATCTATCAATAATAAATTACAACAAGAAACCAGTACCCCATTTTTAATTGCTTCTTTTTGTCCCTCAGACACAAAAAATGGCAGACTGAAGGGGGTGATCGGTCGACCATAATCCACAATCACAGTATACCTGTGACAAAAACATGACTCTATTCAGGGTGCTTAGAGGGCCACTGTAGATGAGGGGGTGGGGGGGGGGGTGACTACGATTGATGTGTTTGGTACTAGCACATCTGAAGAGGTGCTTGTGAAATGTGGAAAAGACGGTCAAAGAAGATTTTAGAGTAAAGTGGTTCATGGACCAGAATGGGTATTTGTGGAGGCTAGTGAAGTTACACAACATCATGAATGCTGTTTATGCCCTTTTTAAACAATGCCTTTTTTTTTAGACTGAGAACAAATGTTAAGTTTAAATTGAAATTGGTGCTTGAAATTGCCTCACTGAAAATGTTTGTTGACAAGAAAATAATTTGCTGCTATGCACAATGTGCTTTAAGACATAAGTACATGGTCTAAAAAAGGAACCCAATTGGTCGTTCAGTAGTAACTAATATGGCATGTTTTGTTTTATGTATGCATCAGTGCGCTTTTAACAAGCAAAAATATCGTTTCACGGAATACTTGATTAATTGATAAAATGTTGAGTAGGATGCTCAAATACTAAAATGTTCAATAGCTGCAGCCCTACAAATTACTAAATTGGAAAATTGATTCTAAACACTCATTACATTGTCCCTACTGTTCATGTCTCCATCTTGTAACTCCAACCCACCTCTCTCTTCAAAGAAAAAACATGGTTGCTTGGTGCTGCGTGTGTACGTCTATAATTTCTGCCCCCACGCCCCCTTGTCCAATTGAACCTCCTGCCAGTGACCATGTCCTAGGTTTCTTTTCTCATACTGTTGCATGCCCTACAAGAAAAGCGTGCAACACAGTTAGAAAACTCCAGGCATGACGCACCACCGCAAGTCAACATCTCGAGAAATGGAAAGCCACAGAGCAGCTGTGATCCAGGAGGAAATCAAGGAAGTGAATCATGGGCTATAGTTCCAAGTTAGAAACTGAGACTTTCATGGCTTGATATCAGAATATGCAGTGATGCTTTTGAACAAAGCAAAAAAAAAAAAACCAAACAAAAAACACACAAAAAAGACCCACATTCATTAAATATTGATGTTTTCCTTACATGATTGAGTATGTGAAACTGTTCCAATAAAATTCTATGCAGGTGATGACGATATTAACCATATACAGAATTATTTCATCAGACTGAATTTTCCTTCTATATATCTTGCTATCGAACAACGTAACTAGCTAGCTAGAAGCTAGCTAGCTAGCTATCTGTCTATCTATCTAGATAACTAGCTAGCTAGCTACCTAGCTAGCCCACTATCAAGCTATCTCTGGAGCTAGCTTTCTGGCGAGCTAGCTATCAAGGTAAACTGGAGCTCTTCATGGTTTGGCTTAAAAGTAGGAACATGATCAACACTCTCCTTTTTTTTTTTTTTTTTTTAGTCACAGTAATAATATTTCCCAAAAGCCAAGGGACTAAAATTGGCCTAGTTGAACACGCTACGTACGTACTCTTGCAGGCATACATGTGTGAATGGTTGACTGTCCTGATGAGTCAGCCCATTATTTGACAATTAGTTATTAGTCCTGGGTGTACCGCACAACTTACCCAAATGGATGACTGAAATATTGGAACATCTGGCCATGAAAGGGAGTCGAACCATTCTCTAATGGCAATAAATGCGGGATGGGTCCCTTATTTTGCAACTACAGTACTACAGCTCCCACACTTTGGGGAAGAATTTCTGATCGACTTTAGATTGTGTTTGTGATCTTGCATATTTATGATGGAACACAGAAAACTGAAAACTGTTTCCATAAAGTTGGAAGCACAGAATTGTTTGGTGAGAGTCAAATACCACACTGCCCCAAAAGTATTCCAAGGCGTTTTTTTTTTTTTGGTTTGCTTTTTGGATCTTGAACTTGAGAGGCCATCTGGAATAGCCAACAGTCCATATCCATGTATATTCTCATCTCTTCCCTCATTCGACACTTTATTGCTCTTTTACGACGTTATTTTACCATCAAAAGAATTACTTTGTGTCTATGACATTTTGTCAGACCAAATGACTTTCTTCTCGGTTAATGGATTTACCTTGCGGTTTTCCGTTAGGCTTCATATGGACAAGAGCCACACTGCAGCTGCACAAGCCTCCCCTTGTGGGAATAACACACGGTTTCTGTTTTTGAATTCTTTTAGAAAGGCTGCCAGTAACACAACACAATGACATCACTGGCTTAATTTTGTTTCAGTACATTGGTGTTTCACATCTTTACTTGTGCGCTGTAAATGATCAGGCAGGGATGGGCACTTGTTCCTTTCAGCTGAGTTCCTTTGCGTTCACTCCTGCTGTCATGATGTATTTGATTTTGCATTGTATTTTGATCTGTGCCGTCCTGTTTCATGCTTTTCTTATCAGGTCATCAAGCACATGTTTCCAACCGGTCTCATTAGCCCTGCGCCTTGTGTAAGCTAATCGGCTTCCTACATCCTCACATGTCTCATCCAGGTGTGCCTTGTTGTCCTTTACTGCTTCAGGGCGCCCATCTTGTGGGATAAAGCTGGCAACCGTGCTTTCAGTTGTTGCTTGATATGCATGATATTATCTTTTGTGATCATTGTTACAGTGGCTTGCGATAGTATTAGGTCCACCTGCCTTCCCCCATGTGACCCGTGTAAAGTCTTCTGGTCCTATGACTAATTCAAGGTAAAGTAAGGCGGGTTGAAAGTCAGTGGACATGATTGTTACGTTAAATGGAAATACTGTGAATTATTTTGAAAAGGTCATGCATTTTCATAAGACAACAAGATAAGTGCGTGCAGCGGTGAAGTCATCCATCTACTTTCCACTTATAGTTATTAGGGTCGTGGGTGTGTTGGAGCCAATCCCTGCTGACTTTGGGCAAGATGGATGTGAAGTGGGAGTCGGCCAATCACAGGTGGTGAAACCATTTCTTGGGAAAAAAAAAAAAAAGTCTCCAGCTGGATCACACAATGCTCACCGAGTGAGATCCAACTTTGGTTCACAAGCTACAATTCATACAGTCTCAAATTAACTCCAAACAATTACACTGTTGTTATAAAACGTGGCCTCGTGAGCTTCATGGCTGGAACAGAGGACAGTCATTAATAATGGATCATAATGGAAAATTAATGAATGAACCTCCATGAACCCGGTACCTCTGCACTGTGAGGTCGACGCGCTACCATTGGTCCACCGGGCTGCCTGCGCCTCGATGACGATTATGATTATTTTATTTTTCACCGTCGCTTTGTTACATTTCTCGGATCAGACTTGAAATTTGAAAGCCAAAAAATGCGTTTCTCAAACCAATTTAGACAAATAGCGAAACATCACGGTTCCCCTGCAGAAGCCATTTTCTGACTTCAAATCGTGAGCACTTCTTTCAAAAGTCAATATTTGTGTCACGAAACATCTCAGTCATCCGAAAAACAAGCCTTTGTGATGTTGTGTCCGGGGAAAAAAAAGCGTAGTCATACTGACAATATAACAGTGTACCCTGGACGGATGTTGTGATATGTAACCGCCGCTTACGTTTTGAGTGCACTCAATTGAAAGCGCCATTTTGTGAATGTGAAATTTCACATATTTTTCAGCATATATTGGTCTGTCGATTCATGATGGTATTAATTTTGCCAATTATGAATCAGTCTAAAGTGTTGAAAATGCCCCGCTCTCTTTGATGATGCAACGTGACAGTATTTCTCGATTGCTAAGACACATTTCTCAAAAGCTGCTCTCCTTTTTGCTAACCTGTGAAATACAAAACCCAATTTTCACAAAACCCCAGATTCTTCCTGCAAAACCCAAGCCTCACCTCAAAACAGTTCAATCTGTGCCCAAACCTGAACGCTCACCATAAAACAATTCAATCTGTGCTCAAAAACAGAACGATGTGGTCAAATCGTGCCCCTGGTCGATCAAAATTAAGAACACTACTGAGCGGCCAGTACACACGACAAAAATAGAAAACACAATGCTCAGCTGTAGAAAGAAATATTTATTCTTCACTGCAGGCTAAATGCATGTTGAAAAGCTAAATACATTTAGCATGTGTACGTAGAAAAAAAAAGTACCAAAAAAAAAAAGCAAAACGTGCGCAGTACAAAGACAAATCTTGTGCATTTACATGTAACCCTTGTCGAGGATAAAAAAAAACAAAAAAAACTCTTTTCAAAGTCTTTTGCATTTAGCACTTAGATGTAGTAGGCCAATGTAAAAAAAAAAAAAAAAAGAACAAAATTATCTTTCGAATAGACAAATAACAGGCCTGAAAACAGTTGGACTAATTCTCCAAAACATTATTACAGTACTTGGCACAGTGATGTACTGAAACATATACAGTGGTACCTCTACTTCCGAACGTCTCTTCATCTGAAATTTTTAACTTACGAAACGGCTCAACAGAAAAATGTTGCCTCTAGTTCCGAAAGAAATTTCAAGATACGAAAGGTAAAAATACAGTACCGATTGCTAGTCGCAGCTCCGAGTTTCCTGAACGCAACATATTTGTAGCTGCTCTGCCATTGGCTACTACCGAGCATCATCCTGGCATCCCATTGGCTAAGAATACCGAATGCGTCTTTGTGTGACTGTAGATAGATAGAAAAGTATCAGTGCAGTGTCCTCCATTTGTTACATACTTTTATGCATTTTTATGCTATAGAAAACATTTATGTCTGAAAAATGGGGGGTGGGGGAGAAAACACATCTCTACTTACAAAATTTTCTAGTTAACATCCCATTGGCTAAGAATACCGAATGTGTCTTTGTGTGACTGTAGATAGATAGAAAAGTATCTGTGCAGTGTCTTCCATTTGTTACATACTTTGATGCACTTTTATGCTTTAGAAAACATTTATGTCTGAAATATGGGGGCGGGGAGACACATCTCTACTTACAAAAATTTTCTAGTTTAGAAATTTCTTCCAGAACCAATTAATTTCGTAAGTCGAGGTACCACTGTACTTGTATTTAAGTAGAGTGTAGAGCTATCCATCCATCCATCCATCAAAAAAAATAGTCACGATTGCGTGGTGGTGGTGGACCCCAAAAAAGCAGGCAGGAGGGAAGAGCAGGGTGAACTTGAAGAATTGTATTAAAACACAGAGAAAACTAAATCCGAAACAGACAAAGTCTTAACAACAAAACGAATCCAAAGTATCAAACAAAACCATGACTGAAGCTCAAAAAAACTAGAACAGAACCATGACAGAAACAAACATGACAGGACAAGCAAACAAACAAGCAACAATGACCTGACGATGAGTGGTCGGGCTGGGCGTCCTTTTATACAACTAATTACCAAACGACCAACAGGTGTGCAGCTGCAAGGGGAGCCCTACAGTGCCACCTGTTGGTCACAAACAGAACCATGACATTTATATAGTCATCCTCCAGTAATTAGGGTACAAATTTCATGAAACTTTATCGGCATGTCCCCAAATAGCTCAAAATGATGTAATCGGTCAATTTAAATGTGCCACCTCGAATTGTAAAAAGAAAAGCAATCCTGTGCATAGTCCGTTGTATATTCGACACCATCCAGCAACACTTTTTTTTAGGGTGAAATCAAACGTCATAGGTAAGGATGTTCTGAGCTCAGGTCGCTGTCTGGGCTCTCATCATCAGTCACTGTTCTGGGTGAGCTCGCCGAACGTTGTAGTCCCTCAATACCCGAAATTTCTGACGGCAACAATATCCCCTTTTTGACGTTTTTCAGTTCTCGCTCGAGCGCTTCTGCCCCCTGTTGGCCACACTTAACGCGCTTCCACTTCATCCTCCTGTTCTGGAACCAGACCTTCACCTGAGAGGGGAATCACAAATGAAATCAGGTAGAGTCAAGACAGTTTGATTTATATCGGGGACAAATCACAACAGAGGTTATGGCGAAGGGCTTAACATATAGAGCAGGTTTAGAACGGTGCTGGAAATAAAACTGATTTAATGACGACAGCAAGGAAAACTCTTTAGAAGAAATCTCGAACACAACTGTCACCTAATAGTTTTTTTTCCAATATCCGTCTCCCCATTTTGGGAACCGCAAGACTCACGTGCGTGGGTGGAGCCTATCCCAGCTGACTTTGGGCCAGCATATCGCAGGGGCAGAGATAGACACGCAATCATTCACACCCAGGGATAATTTAACGTGTTCCATTCACCTGCCATGCATGTTATTCGGAATGTGGGAGGAAACCGGAGTACCCGGAGAAAACCCACGCAGACACGGGGAAAATATGCACATTCCACACATGAATCCCGCAGGTTCGATTTCAAAGCCATGAGCTCTGCACTGCGAGGCGAAAAATGCTGACGAGGCGTCCACCGTGCTGCCTGTTTTTGACCCTTTCGGGGGACAACGGTTACTCCAGTGGACAGCTTATCCGGTTGTCAGGTTACACGTTATCATTTTTTGTGCATGAAAGGGGTAATATTTTTCATTTTGGGGGGTGAGGGGGACGCTTTTGTTTTTTTTTGGGGGGATTGTTAATTTTTCCTGGGAACATGCATATTGACGGTGCAATGTTAATGGTTGAACAAACACGTTGTTACGGGGGTCTCCTTAAAAGTGATGATTATGGAGGTCCAAAGATTCCGTGATATGCTCCCTTGCTCCCAAAACTTCTCTTTCTCCTCCTCCTATTGGCTCTTATTTCGTTGGGCCACTCAAACAAGACAAGTAGGAATGTTTGTGCCTTCCCTGATCAGGTTTGGTGCCAAATTCATCACAATACTTCACAACACAATGCTGTTGAAAAACATTACGTGGCTACTGGCCCAGCTTTTCATTAACACATACACACAAAACCCCCCACCCCAAAAAAAAAAACAGAGGAGGGGGGAGCGACTTGAAAGCAACGTTCAAGTGTTTGCTCATGAAACCCATGATTTTTAAAGCCTTGTCGAGCCGCGTATTGACGTTCACCCTTTCGTGCACCCTGTCACCCGATAACATGGTAAGCTGCCCGCTGAAGTAACCGCTGTCCCCAAAAAGGGTCCAATTGTCATGTTTAATGAAAAGAGAGAGGATCAGTCATAACAGACAGAAAGTAGGACCACCATTCAGATCCTCTCGAATCAACGTGGATAACATTTGACCATCTCTCAAGGATGGTACATGGTCCGAGCCGATGGCTACATCGCATCGGCCCGCTCCGATGATGCTAGCTACAGTCTGTCACATTTCACACAGGTCATCAATTGCTTGCTTGGTCTCAATATCAGATGGCTGTGATGGCATCGCAGATCACCGACGACTAAGGTTTGCTCTCGGAGGTCATCCACCCATGTTCTACCTGATAACATGAGAAGCTGTCCACTGCAGTAACCGCTGTCCCCGAAAAGGTTAAAACCTTTCAGGGTCAGACTATTGGCTGATTTTGGAAGGACTTGCAGTTGGATGCCACACTGGCACTCGATTCTTTGTCCGGGTGAGGGGCGCTGCTTAGCCCCTCCCACCAGTGGTGTAGTGGGGATTTTTTAAGTGGGTGTACGCGATTCTGGGATGTTCTATATATACATACAGAACATCAATCATAGGCTACAACACCAGTTGAACTAACGTTAAATTTAATGTTTTACTACTCCAAAATAATCACAGGCCAACGTTATTAAGCATAACTCGAATTAGAACAATGATCAACAAACATTTCAATAAAAATTGAATGTGGCGTCGGGAGAAGTGGGTGGACGGCGTATCCCCGCGTACCACGCCCTGCTGCTTAGCCCCTCCCACTACACATTAGTAGCACCGCCTGGCTCACTTCTCTTATTCTGTCCTGTCCTAATCCTGTCCCTCGATGCTATTTGCTACTCGTCCGTTCTTCGTAGGGTGTCGCACCCAGTCCACATACAGTTAAAATCAACATCCTGTGTAATACTTTTTAGTACTAATAGTCAACAACATGGGGGATGGAGGGGTTACCGCAGAGAGCAAACCTAGTGGTCGGTTATGTATTTACATTCACTGGCTTGCCGCAAGTTATTTTCATAGATTTGATTGTGTTTCTATGCTTCTGACTCCGCACGATTGATATGAAGAAACACGTGCCCTTACTTGTCGTTCAGTCAGGTCCAGGTTGACCGCTATTTCGTAGCGTCTCAGTCTGGTCAAATAGTTGTGGTGTGCAAATTCGGACTCCAGTTCCTGAATCTGTTCTTTTGTGAAGGCCGTGCGTTCCTTTCTGGGCTTGTTGGTCATGTCTGACTTATAGCCCCCGTCTTGGGACTCTGAAATGAAAAGCAGAACATTTTCCAGTCGGTCTAGCGAAGGGTGGGGGCGGGAGGAGGGTAAAAAGGGGGTCGAATGAAAAAAAGACTCAGTGTTTTGGTTTCAGAAGCATACGGATTGCACGGTTTCAGATGGAAGTAAAATTTGACATTGCTTGCGTTGCCGAGTTATTACAAATATGTAAATTTCCAGTAACATGATTTTGATTGTGGGTTGCGGACGAGAAGTTTTGCAAATCACCTCAATCGCAACACTTCCAAACAATATTTATATTCTACTTTAAAAGTGATGAAGTAAAAAATAAATAAATAAATTAATTAATTAATGTGTTTTTCTTTTTCAAGTTACTTCAAAACAAAACAAAAAAAAAAACCTTGATTTTTTATCATGATGAGTATTTGTATAAAAAGGCTCCTTCAGTGTTAGCATGAAATAACTTAGATTTTTGACTCTACTTCCTCGGGTTTACATTTTGTGATTGCCTCCGCACTTGATACATGCAAATTTCAAAATGACACCATCTGTTTATACAGCTCTGAAATCAGAAAAAAAAATTAATAAATCATACCCGAATACTTGCAACGGTGAAAAATCAAATGTGGTTTTTGGCTACTGGCAGCTTCCTCTGAATTTTTTCAGATCTTTACTCTCTCAGTCAACACAATGTCTCTCCCAGGGAATCCGAAAATCTTCCACCTGGCGCGATCTCCAAAACCGCTTGTCAGTGTTGCTCAATGATTTAAACATTACGTTTTGAAATCTTGCTGGATTTGTCCTATTTAGTCTCTTTTACCATTCAATGATTTATACTGCACATGTTCACTTCCAAGTCTTCAAAAAAAAAAAGATTTTTTTTTTTAACTGCCAGAATGAGGTTTTATGCCACCGATGACCTAACAGCACTTGTTTTAAAAACCGACTGACTGTTTAAAATTTAACCAACTATTCTGTCGAGATACATCGATGGACTAAGGAGACATAGGTCATGACCCCTCCATTTTCTTTTTTAAAGAGTTAAGTTCCAGGTTTGAGGAAAACAGCCTGTGGCTTTTTCAATTCATTGTATGGAAATTGAGTGTTTCTAAATCTGGATGGTTCTGAGGGCACGATGAAAAAAGACGCATTTTCTTTCTTTTTCACCCTTTCGTGCACCCTGTAACCTGATGATAAGCTGTCCACTGAAGCAACCGCTGTCGCTGAAAGGATAAAAATGACCAAACTTGATGGCACAAAAAGCTTTGCAAATTTTAACGAGTGGCTGAAAATTAAAGAATTTGTGAACTTCGACCTAAGCCAAATCAACTCAAATCATAAATTTCACTGTTTTGATCAAACTACATGTGGACGACCTTCAACACTAGTCCACTTTTGTTGGTCATAAATAAACACGTGCTTTAACAGGATGGTAACAAATAAATCCATCCATCCATTTTCCGCTTTATCCTCACAAGGGTCGCAGGGGGTGCTGGAGCCTATCCCAGCCATCTTCAGCCAGTAGGTGGGGGACACCCTGAACCGGTTGCCAGCCAGGGTACACACAGACAAGCAACCATCCGCGCTAACACTCACACCCAGGGACAATTTTGAGCGTTCAATCAACCTGCCTTGCATGTTTTTGGAATGTGGGAGGAAACCGGAATACCCGGAGAAAACCCACCCAGGCGTGGGGAGAACACGCAAACGCCACACAGGAAGGCCAGAGCCGGGATCGAACCCACAACCTCTGCACTGTGAGGTTGACGCGCTAACCACTGGACCATCCATCCATCCATCTTCTGATCCGCTTCATCCTCACGAGGGTCGCGGGCATGCTGGAGAGTACCGTCGAGCAGACACCCTGAACTGGTCGCCAGCCAATCGCAAGGCACACAAACAAACAACCATTCGCGCTCACAATCACACCAGAGACAATTTGGAGCGTTCCATTAACCTGCCATGCATGTTTTTGGAATGTGGGAGGAAACCCGAGTACCCGGAGAAAACCCACGCAGGCCCGGGTAGAACATACAAACTCCACACAGGGAGGCTTTTGGAATGGAAAAAATATATATATTGTAAAGTCAACAATCCAAAGTGGAAAAACATTCCTTCTTACCTTTGGGAGTCATCGCGTCAGTTTCATCCGATGACAGACTCTTCTGACTGTACTCCTCACAGGATGTTCCGGAAAGTTCCCCGCCGGGTTCGGTACCGCACAAATTTCGATCCGCGGAGGACTGTTCTGAAGCGATATTCTCAAGTGGCGGCAAACTGAGGGAAGGGGAGGGAATCTGCTGAGAGATGAGCCACGAGGAGGACTGCTGGGGAATGTGGACCTGATGAGCTGCATCATGAAGCACGTCATCGTCTTCTACTTCTTGGAAGCCGCAGCGAGCCGAGAGGTTACTGTGACTGTGTAGAGGCAACGGGGTCATGGCAGGAAGTAAATCCTGAGCTGATGTGTGAGGGCTGCGTAAACAACCAAAGAGGGAGTGATCCATAGTGGGGGTGGCGGGGGGGATGCCACCAAACCCTCACTCCAGACTGTCGGAGGAAACCAGCCACTCTCCACAGAGGTAAGAAATAAGAAATCAGGATTTTTTTTTTCCACCCAGATCTTCAGATTCGCCACAAAATCCAACAAAAAAAAGGATTTAGTTTGAAAAAACTAAAGCCAAGCCTGAAAAAAAGAGGCCAAAAAAGGCAGACTGATGACAGCAAGGAAGGTCAATACCATTTCAGCAGAAGTTGCGTTGGAAAGCCGAAGGAGAGCTGCGGGGATGAAGAAAGGAGGAGGCAGTGGGAGAATATTACATCCAAGTTGTAACCTGAGATGGAGGCTGGTTCATTGCTTCACTCCGACTGACCACGTTTATTCAACGACGGACGATAAATCCGAACCACGCTCACTCACAGTATAAGTGAAGTTTGCCATTTCGGAGCTCACGTGGAAATAATATATGAGTGATGCACAATTTGCAAGCACACTTTAAGTTGGGCAGTTACAACTCAAGCTTGAAAGTTTTGCTTTTGTGAAATGGAGCTTTTCCGCATTTCACAACAAAGAAATGTGAATTTACAGACCCTTGCATTGAACCCCAATGTATCGATACAGGACGAGTCACCGCAACTCTGCAAATTAATTTGGGGCAAACAACTTGGTAACTCACATTTGTTGCCATAAATGTCATTCATTTAGATTGTAAAGTTGTTCATGGTTAAATGTCCTTTCCACTGACTTCATCATTTGCAATGTCAAATATCCGCAACCTCATCTTAATGCCGAAAAGTTGGGGTGTCAAAACGAATGACTCAAGGGGCGGAAAACCAAGGCCAACGGGTATCACATGTATTCTACAGTAAAAGTAACGAGAATGCGTGGAATCGAACGATTCCATTGGAAGACACTGGAAAAAAAAAAAACTTCCGTTAAATTGCCTTCCTGAAGTGTCAAATTTTCTCTTCTGGGCCGGAGCTATGTGGTGGCCAGGGGTGGCCCTGGCCACCCCTTGTCACTCTTTGGCAACCACCACCCGCTGATACTTTCCCACAAGTTACAAATGTTAACTGTATATTCAAATAATTTGTATCCAATTGATCTGAATGCAAATTTTAAAAGAATCTGTCAAGTCAAAAAACATTTGACTCTTGCAGTCACCATTAATCAAAATCACTATTTTCGCACCATATATAGTAAAGAACATGGCTGAGAAGTCATTGTTTGTCATAACATCCACAGTCATGCTTTCATGAAATAAAATTCATTCATTTATCAATGCTTTTCACTCTCTTCAGTGAATGGAGACGTTCAGTAAAGATGACGTAGCATAACGGAGACGTCACCATCCATGACATCACCTTGTTTCCGTACACCCTGAGCTGGTTACCAGCCAATTGCAGGGCACACATCGGCGAACAATCATTCGCGCTCTAACTCACACAGTTGAGAGTGTTCCATTAACCTGCCATGCATGTTTTTTGGAATGTGGGAGGAAACCGGAGTACCCGGAGAAAACCCACGTAGGCACGGGGAGAACATGCAAACTCCACACAGCCGCCCATAAAATGTATTTCTTTTTTTCTTATTGATAAATAAACCTGAAAAGAGAGAATAGAGATGTTGATTAGTTTCTAACCACATTGTTGTTTTGGTTTTGCAAATAAGTTCTTTAAAAAAATCTTACCTTCGTATTCCTTGAGGACCATCTAGCAAATCAAGCTCAGCAAAACCTCTCTTTTGACTTGTTCCTCCTTGATTATGAGTGTGATTGGCATGGTGTGAATATTATTTCATGAAACCCTGACTGTGAGTGGTGTGATGAAGAATCCCGCACACACAAACACACGTGTATATTAAATATGTCTGTCCTGGCCAATTCTCGCTGCGTAATGAGCAACGTTGGCTACTTTACCGAAAAGTTGACTTGTTATCCTCTTTGTCTATGTGCATGCAATCCTGTAGTATAGATTGTTGATTGACTGCCAGGATACAAAGAGACGGGGGAGATGTAATTTATGGTAGACATATACTTTATTTCATTTTGAGATCGTTAAAATATTTTGCCATAAATGTTTGGCGCATGCGCGCGCACACAATGATTTTCAACACTGCATTTCTATAGATATGAAAGACTATATTAAAAGGCAACCGTATGCATGTTAAACTCTGGTGGCACCTATCGGGGGCAAAGTGGATGGCAGCCAACCCCACTGGCCACACCTTCTTGTTGAAGAATAAAAAGTTTGTTGGTGTCATTGCGCATCTTATATATAATTGGAATGAATGAGCTGTTGATCGCAATATGCAAAATAGCGTAAGCCATCGGTGACAATTGATCGCTCTGATTGGCAGTTCTATAACGAGTAGTATATGAGATGTAACTGACACAATAGCCAGGTTTACATGGAGGCACACAAATGGGGTGGAAGAGATTTAATGATTGAATTTACAGGGGGAAGGTATTTATAGATCGATTGGTTTTCTAAGAAGACGTGTGTAATGAATAATTCCTCAGGGACGTCTTTAAAACAAGACTTATAGTAAGTACCCTCTCCCGGCAATTTGAACACTAGCATGACGTCGGATTGAATATTTTATCGGAATGGCGACAGAACAAAATGAGACATTGTTCCAATTTTTGTTACAAAGTAGCTCGTGAGTTACAGAACTTTTTGGAAGGATAGTGCTGACATAACATTGAACAAAAAAATGTGGGGTTTTCTTCCAGACAACGCACCATTTTACAGAAATGTTGCAAAGATCACGTTTTTTAAAAAAAAACAAAAGACTAAATTGGGCTGTGCTAAATGCCTTCAAAATATTTATTTTATATACAACCATTTTCTGAATTGTCCAGGGTACGCTTAACGTATCACCAACCAATCACCGACTTCCTGACAGTGTCAACCGTAAAATTAACCAATCAAAACCAAGAAGTAGATTTGAATGTTTACCCACAATGCATTACGGTATGTTTGCATCCCACAAATAAAGTCACACATAAACGAAACCGACACTACTTGGTGACAGTGTTATCCATCTAATAATTTGTTATATTATCACCACTTCTATGCAATTTTATATTCAACTTTTTAATTTTCACCTTCACCGAGAAACGTTTCCTCACTAGACATATATGAACTGTTCGCGCCCACCCGGTTAAAAGGGCTTCAACAACGTCAGTGTTTCGGATGACAACCTTAACTGGGCGTTATCCGCGGAATCTAAATCAAGAGATTTCGGAAGCACAATTTTTATAACAGGGAATACTGGTAACCACTCGTTCCAGTGTCCCGCATACTATGTCTAACAGTAGCGTCTCGCACCGTCATATCTCTTAATATAACGTTATCTTAGATTTGCAGGGGCCGTTTTCCGTGTTTTCGATTATTGAGTCAAAGTTTATCCCTTACTGTTCAATGTTCATGGTCTCTTTTTTAAAAACTGCATTAAACAGGCGGGGGCGACAAAATCGTATTTCCTCATTTCACTGCGGATTTGGGCAGAGTATTTATCATGAGAAAAAAAAAGAAAAAATTATTAAGATTGTGGCTGTCATTAAATTAAGTGCTCTTCAGTGGATGTTGAAACATTTCTCTTTTCACCTAAACACCTCCCCGGATGTAAAGGGCCCGGTTGTGATTGGGCACCAAACCGTAACCCGGATGTTTTCTTCGCAGTTTCCCATGACGTCACAGGTTAATTTGCATTACATTTCTTGCAAAGGTTTATATTCTAAATTAAATTTAGGAAGGTTATATGTAATTTTTTTTGGTATATTTATGTAAGAATTGGAACTGCGTTTTGTGTCTAGAAACGATGCTAAGCATAAGAAAGCTATCAGAGCCTAGAAATTGTGCTTCCATTAATATATATATCTATAAAACAGACTCGTGATCCCGAACATGTTTTTACTTTCTTGCTTTTGGTGATTTATTCTTTCATTTTGTTTTTGAAGTATTTGCTTTTTGTAATGTATATGTTCATGTCTGGAGCGGGGTTTGAATACATATGATAGCCATTTAAAAAAAAACAGTGAACACATTGCAGTGGTCAACTGTACAATACTGGAGTGAGCGATGGAGTCTCATTTCACTTCTTATCAGGATCAGTTTGCAATTGGGGTGAGAAAAGTGGACGAGTCAATAAAAAGACAGCTATTGTACCTTTTCTGGGTCAGCAAAGCTGTTTTCACTCCTGCAAGTGTCGAGTCAGATCGGTTAAGATCCAGATCGCTTGACACCATAAAACAATCTGTATACACACACACACGCAAGAGCTTTTTCTGTTCTGTCAGTCAACACTTTCGTTGGAAGTTTTTTTTTCTTTTAAGAAAGCATTGTGCGTGTGTGTGTTCGTGTTCAGAATCACAAATTTTATTTGCAATCAACATCAATTCATGGGAGTCTTTTTTTTTTGGATAGTCATACTAAAAATGTCAATCTATACTGTTTATTAATTTTTTTAGGATGGCTGTCGTGCGCCCTGCAATTGGCTGGCAACTGGTTCAGGGTGTCCCTTGCCTACTGTCCGAAGACAGCTTGGACAGGCTCCAGCAACGCCCGTTACCCTTGTGAGGATAAAGCGGTCCAGAAAATGGACAGATGGCTGTAGTGCGCCATTAAAAAGAGATTCTGAAAGAAAACTGCAAACCAAACTGTTGGGGTGGATCCTTGTTGAGCACTGCAGCCTTGAGCAAAACACAGAAACCCTTCCTTAGCTGAAATCAGCATTCTTGAATTCTTTGTATTGCACATTCATACCTGTCAAGTTTTCGGAGCGCCAACCTGTATAAACTACCAAAAAAATCCTGATAAAGAGCAAAAAATCCTTATAACATACCAAAGCATTTTATATGTCAAAATAACGGCAGAAAAGACCCCACGAAATATGAATATTTGTTTCCTTGTAGAACTTGCTTGTACACTACCGAAGTATGCAATGAATACTCTGCTGTTTTCAACTAGGAAGCACGTGATTTACTGGAAAGTTACCGGAAATGAAAGCATTCGAGTAGACTAGCACCATTCTGGGCAAAAGCAAACGGAACTACCTGTTAGGGGGAAAAAAAAAGAAAAAAAACCCCGGAAATTTTCAGACTCCGTATGATTTGTGCGATATGGCCATATACGTAAGATTCACCACAAAATCAGTATGAAATATGGCTAAACCGTATGAGTTGACAGGTATGCACATTAGATAAAACCATAGAAACAGAATCCTGATTTGAGATTTAATGAGCACAAAGGAAATAAACCCGCATTAAAAAAAATCATGCAACAGAAATACTGTACATTTTTCAATTTTTTATTTTAACATCAAGCCTCTATTTGGTGGCAAAAAAAGCAGAATGCAAATTTAACACTAACAAAGAATTAGAAAGTATTTTATTCGTCCTAAAAAAAAAAAAATGGCCTGCCCACCTAGTTTCACTTGTACATACAAGTACCACAAAATATTTTCCTTTTTTTCCCCGGAGAAGTCCATACTGTCAAAGCCCCAGCAGACGGCTGCAAATAAAGCGAAGCAACTGCATCCAGGCTTAGTAGCTAAGTGGATCTGGTATGGTTAACATCACTTGGTCTTGCTCTGATGAGAACTCTAGCGATTTCCACGGAGAGTCAATTAGAGTATCGTACAGTTCTTCGCTGTTCTGGATGAACCTCTTGTTTGTTTCCACCACATCCAACTCTGCCGATGGATCTGCCACACAGACACAGTTGCTTACGGAAACATACCCTCACCGTACGTAACTCAATAGTCCAAATATGTTCATGATGTGCAAGCATCAATCTCCAAATACAAACCTTCGAGTCCATCATCCTGAACATCGACTTCCTAAAAAAAAAAAAAAAAAAAAAAAAAAAAAACACGACGTCATAATTTCTATTTACAAAATATGGATTCCAAACCGGAAACGAGAGCTTACCTGTGATTGGGCATACTGTGAGTAATCGTACTGTGGGTACGTGTAGCCGTACGTGGCTGCAGTTTGATCGTATCCCCAGGAGGAGTAATAGTTCGGATACGCCTGCTGCTGGTGGTATTGGCTGTACTGGTCGTAGGGGGGCGTGTAGCCGGTGCTTGTCGGCCAGGTTTTGGGTTCAGGCTGCAGCGGTCTGTTCCTTAAACTGTGCACGGAGAGAAACGACATCAAAAGGACATTTTGGCATCAGGTCTCTCTCAGGCGTTTCAGGTAGTCAAGACTGGGGTACAGTTATGTGTTGAAAATATCACGTCAAGACAACAACAAAGCGATCAAAATTCACAGAGACCTCCCGAAACAACTAAAGAGGTACATTCTTGCCAGGTCAGTTGTTTGATGCAGTGGTGCTACAATTACCGCATTTTCCGCGCTATAAGGCGCTCCTAAAAGCATTCAATTCTCTCAAAAGCAGACAGCGCCCTTTATAATCCGATGAGCCTTATATATAGTGTTACAGTCTCTTCATGTTCCCCCTTTAAGTTGTTTCCCTGTTAGTGTTCCTACGCCATCTAGTGGTGATTGTCAGCAGGAGCCAATTTTAACCTAAAAGGGGTTCTGCCCGACATTAATTGACACGTGCATTCGCCAACACAAACTCAAAAAGACAACTACTTTGTGGGCTCTGCGCAACCATAATGAAATGAATATCAAAAGCATTTTTAACTACTGACTAAACGAAGGAAGAAGGAGACAAGTAAGACTTCTAAGGCTATTTATTTGTATTCGTGCCAAGGAATAAACCCTGAACTGTTATGGCCTTCGTGTCGTGCGTCATTCTACATCCTGAGGGAGCGAAACATGGATCAATATTCTGATTTCTTGGACGTAGTATTTTATATGATCTCTAAACGCTTTGTTACAGCGGCAGCGGTTGTGAAAGCTCGATATAAATTGAGCCGTATTGTATTGTATTCCCTTTAGCGACGCTCCATCTAGTGGCTGCATAGCGCAACCGCAGCCACTATTGTAGCTTCTATTCTATGTGCCTTATAATGCGGTGTGCCCTCAATATGAAAACTGTTTTAAAATAGGCCATTCATTGAAGGTGCACCTTATACTCCGAAGCCCCTTATAGTGCGGAAAATACAGTAATTAAATGTTGCCGTCTTGAAAAAAAACATTCTGTACTAATAACCGGAGGGGGTTATATTTTTAAAAACGGTATTTGCTCAATGTAGCGGTTGGCTACAAATTAAATCAAATGGATACGAGTTTTTAGTTCCATCACGACGTCATGCAAAAAGTCCCCTAAGACAAACTTACTTGCTAGCCGCTATGCTTAGTCGCAGGGGTTTACTCCCCAGTCCCACAGCTCCTTGACACTCGTCCAGCGCTCGCTTCTGCAAGCGCTCGTCGGGAAACTGAACAAAGCCGCAACCCCTACAGCGAAACACGCATTGCCTTCATCTCACTTGTACATGAGTTGACATTTAGATTCAGAAACATTAAATAACTCGGGGCAAGGCAAGACTAATGGCTTTCCTAAACGTCACGGATGTGTAATAGTCAACACGGAGTCGGGTTGCACGATACACCCGCACGAGAAAAGTGCCACAATTCAACACTGTCGAAAACGATATCACACACGTTTTTAGTCCAGTAATCTCTGACTTTTCCGTGAAGTGGGCTGTTCCTTTCTACCAAGTGAGACAAGGAAAAATATTGGGTGCGACGTTTAAACGACTTACCTCCAATCTGTGCTGCTTTTTAACATCGATATTTTGTGACCACAACCCTCTGTGAATATTGAGACTACACAAATCTTAGCAGCGACAACTTCATTTTAGTTCGAAATTGTGAAATCTGTTCTGCCCATTTTTTTTTGTTTATTTTCAAAGACGGAACATAATGGCATATATATTTTTTTAAATTCTTGACTATCCATCCATACATTTTTGGATCCACTTTAGCCTATCCCAGCCGCCTTCGGGCAGTAGGCGAGGTACACCCTGAATGGTTGCCAGCCAATTGCAGGCCACACAGAGACTAACAACCATCCGCGGTCACACTCACACCTCGGGACAATTTTGAGTGTTCAATTAGACCGTCACACATGTTTTTGGAATGTGGGACGAAACCAGAGTACCCGGAGAAAACCCGCGCAGGCACGGGGAGAACATGTAAACTCCACATGGGAAGGCCGAAGCTGGAATTGCCCACCGGGGCACAATTCTCAACAACCTAATATTATTTTTAATGCACAAAAATGCAAAGAAGTTGAAGTTATGCCTTTTTTTCTTCTTCTATGATTCCATGGTAGTGATGTTTTTGCGATGGTATTGTTTCGGCATTGACATTCTGTACTCATGAAGAGTATCCAAAGTTCAATTTTGGTATTATAACACCAAAACCATGGAGTGGAGCATTTATTTATTTATTTATTTTTCCTCAAAGATCCATAAGAAGAATGCAGAAACATAATTTAGCGAGTTGATAACACTGTTGAATATTTGTAATGGCAGAACATTTTACAAGTTCGGTTCATGTGTGGAGTTTGCATGTTCTCCCCGTGCGCCGACGGCGTGTTTTCTTTGGGTACTCCGGTTTCCTCGCACATTCCAAAAGCATGTGTTGCAAGTTAATGGAAAACTTGAAATTGTCCCTAGGTGTGATTGTGAGTATTCCCATACTAAACGGCGACATGATGAAAACTTACTTGGAGTTTCCCATGGTGTCCAGCACTACTTTTCCTCCCCGGCACGAAGGGAATCGATTGTAGAAGAACTCGTACAGCATCCCATCGTCTACCTCTGGAGTGAGATCTCCCACAAACAAGGAGTACATCTGACTGCAAAAGATGAAATGGGACCGATTATGACAACACATAATGTGGTGACATTAAAATAAAATTCATAGTCGGCCTCATGCGGTGATCTTTCACACTCAAGCTCCAGTTGATATCCTGCTTCTTCATTTCGTCTCACCCTGTTTCTTGTTTCCCAAAGGTAGCTCGGTTTAACTTGAATCTTGTCGGCTGTAAGAGAAAATGAAATATGTCAACCGACCAGAAATAATAACGACATACTCCCCAACAATTCTTCATACTGGACTGGCTCCGGGGAGGGATTTCCCATTGATTTTACGAAGACACCTCTCAGCCGTGGCCTCATCCGCCATTTCCACAAAACAATAACCCAAGGCACTGCTGGACGACGGCGCACTGTCAAAAGTTAAATTAGAATCACGGGTATAGCAACAACAGCAACAAAAAACTACACAGAGTTTCGACTCTCACCCTGGAACCTTGCTGCGTATGATCCGAACACTGACTGCCTGCTCACCCATGGTAGAAAAGGCTCTGGTGATGAACTTCTCGTCCATATAAGAATCCAGCTACAGATTAGTCAAGAAACAGTATTTAGCAATCGAGACATATTTGTTCATCATCACGCTTTGGCTGATGAGCTCCAATACATAAACTCTATCCAAAACCATTTTAACTTTGGATTTATCAATAAGGTTTACTACTTGGGTCAGGGCAACCATACGGCGGGTGGGTGGGATCAATGACAATTCTACACAATAGTTACTGGCACGGGCTTTCGATAAAATAGTACGTATTTCCAAGTTGCTGCAATCCCTGAATGTGGTTGCAGTTTATAATAGTAATAGTGGTGGCCGTGGTGCATACATTTCCAAAACGTCGGGATCACTATGAAGCAAGGGGCACCATTCCCAGTTCCATTTAATTTCATTACGCAGGTACAGCTCAATGCTAAATACAATGAAACCATGGTTGAAGCCGTTTTAATTGGAGCATACCGCTAATGTTCGTGACGATATCGTGAAAACAGCACGTGGAATACCGCAAATTACGATACTCGACGGAACCAAACGAACAACTCACACCGCGATGTTGGGAATCCCGACTGTCGGGTATTCACGACAGAGTGGGGTCAAGTTGGAAAATAAACAGTTTAAAATGGTGTAGTTAGCTGCCACAAGTATCGTTCGGCCAAAAGAATCGAACAATACCACCACAATGCATTTCAACATTTCTCACAATTTAAGAAAAACAGCTATGAGCTTACATTTCCCATCCATAATGTACTCATGGTGCGGTCGACAATGTGGATTTTCAAAGCGGAGTTTACAAGGCAAGGTAAATTCGAAATAAACGTGTTAGCGTCCACATGCTAACAAAAAGGAGCGGACGTGCTAGGCTAACTGTGCGGGTTGACGTCACCTGGAGGATGTACGTCATGCCTTACGCGGGCCATTTCTTCTTCGTCTTTTAATTTACTGGCGGATTACAGCTCTTTGATGCATACCGCCACGTCCTGGACAGGAACCGCAAAGAGCCATAACGGTATTGTGTATGGTCGCACATAAACAATGAATGGAATTTACTTATTGCCATTGTAGCATGTATAATAAAGTGTTTCCTGCCATCAGGACCAAACAAGGCAGAAAGATGCTAAACTAGACACGAAAAAAAACAACGCAGGAAGTGAGTTCACAGTAGTTTATTGTTAAATAATGTCATACAAACAAATTGATGAAGCTGAACGGAATTTAAAAATAGAAACGGCTGCTGAGAAAAATCACAAATCGTTCCGGCTGGATTCAAAATATTGTAGATTAATAAATCCACGGCAAGATACATTTGTGATACCATAAATATCCCATGAATGATCAAGTTGACATTTTGAAGTCACGAGCTCCACCGAATATGTTGAGACATCGAATCGCAGCAGAACCAAACACTGTTGGATCATAGAACCACTAAGCTATATTAATGCTGTATATGAAAATATTTATCATTTATTATTAGTTATGTGTATAAAGTATATATGAGATTTCAAATATAATTACAAAACAAAACACACAATAGGACTGCAAATACAAACCCTCACACAGAGACATTCTTGACAATCAATCATATATGCAACGTGTGTCAACAAGACATTATAAACAGAAACTTTATTTCAGGTTTCAACGACATGAAGTTGTCTTGTGCAAATGATAAGGGATAAATAAGTCTCCTTCTATTCTTTTGGTGTTCAAAGCAGATTCCGTATTTATATAAGCTACCAGGTGAAGGAGATATGCAAATGAGTAGATTTCTTTCAAAAATGACAATGGATTGTTGACAAAACACTTCTGTGCAAACATACAGTTAGCTTGGGCAAAACAAAACAAAAAAAAAATTGTGTTCGATTATAACCGTTAATAAACCAATGCCAATATTTAGAAGATTGCACAGTATCCCCGTATGACACTTAGAAATATTCAAATTGTGATGAATGGCTTTAGGATAGACGTAGCAGGTTAGCAAGTCAAGATGAGGGGGAAAAAAAAAAGGTTCAGTGCTTCTAATGGCTTAATGAATATTTCTTGATAGCGTATTTTGTAAAATAAGCAACAGTTTCATACAAATGTTACAGTTAGTGTTCTAAAAGCCATTACTATGCATATTTATCTTGTTTCGGTAATGTCAACTTTCAATGCTATTTATTTATGTATGTATTTATTTTACTAAACATGACAAGCTTTATAGATGGAACTGTACTCAGTAAGACATTCAACCAGCAGAATTTAGTTCCAAGACCGACCAAGCTATTCGGTTTTAGTAGCTCAGTGGGTAAAACCCGTATATATTTGCGGTTCGGAATTCGCAGTTTCACCTACACCCAGGATATTATTATTTTTATTGTTATTATTATTATTTTAATTTTTTTTTAAGAGGCGGGAGACAGATCCTATTTTGCGGTTTTATACTCAGGTCCCAGATGCCACCAGATGAAACCAAAGCAATACTGCTATTGGTCTAGCGTCATCTGGTGACATTTGGGTGGCAAAGGAAGAATTTGACACGGAGATGAGGAGTGTGAATTGCACAAAAGGAGTGAATTGACGTCATCGTGTGGCATCTGTGTGCAATTTCAACCTCTTTTAGGGAGTAGTGGTGATTGTAGTGTTTCACAATTTGCGGCAAGGGTCGGTCTCTATCCCATGTGAAGAGTGAAGGATCTCACACACACACACACACACACACACACACACACACACACACACACACACACACACACACACACACACACACACACACAAAAGAAGGCGATAGAAGAATTCAGGAACAGTTTAAGGTGACAGTAGACAGTTTCCAAACAGCCAAACGTGTGTTGTCGTGACGAAAATCTGGTTTAAGTTAGTAATTATGAGACCCAAAATATTACCATTTTGATCACATCCGTTTGGGAACAGATTAGCCATAATCAACATTTTCATCACTGTAAACGCACAAAGAAACATCTTCAGGGAAGTATGGCCACATCAGATAGTATAGTCTTCATATGTGGATGGAGAAGGATAACGTCGGCAAGGTATCTTGATCTGGTACTGGAGCTGATTATCGTGTACCCTAACATGCGCACATGTAACTCACTCAGTCCATCTTCTCTTTGTGAACTAGTTTAGGGGCATCCACAAAGTCTTGCCCATTAAAGAGGATGATGGTGGCTGTAATGGCACTGCAAGCGCCCCAAAACATCACATAAGCGAAAGTCTCTGTCCATGTGTCACCTGAAAGACAACAAAGCGGAAATATCATTGCGTGCTTTGGGAGGCACCTGCGCACGATTTAGTCTGCACAGCACAGATGTTTGCGCGCGTCAACCTCCAAATTCCACATTTGTCAGTTTCATGGGCATTTTAGAGGAGGTTTCAATGTACCGAAGTTACCACAGCAACGTTGCTATTCTCGTTTTTAAAGGAAAGGGCACGGTGTGATGTCTCCCAGCTAATCGCTGAAGAAAATGTATATTTGGAGCCACTTCTGAAGGTTATCATTTAAATTTTACAAATATTTTGATGCGTACCGTATTTTCCGCACTATAAGGCGCTTTGGAGTACAAGGCGCATCGTCAATGAATGGCCTATTTAAAAACTGTTTTCATACATAGGGCGCACCACATTACAAGGCCCATGTAGAATGAAAGCCAAAATAGGCTGCGGTTGCGTTATGCATCCATGATGGAGCTACGCCAAAGGCAGTACAATACAGCTGTATTTATAGAGAGCAATGGCTGCAGCTGCATTGTGCATCCACTGGATGGAGCTACACTAAAGGGATGACAATACAATACAGCTTTATTTTCTGAGAGCACAGATGTCAAACTCAAGGCCCGGGGGCCAGATCTGGCCCACCACATAATTTTATACGGCCCACGAAAACAGCTCAAACATGTCAACTTCCATGATCCTTTCTAAAATGTCTACCAAAATGTAAAATTCTCATACGTAATAAATAAGAGATATATTCTAAGCATTTTCTTGTTACAAAACCCTCATTACAGTAACTTAAACAATCGGGGAAGAAACCGTTATTCTTGACTTCTTTTTTTTTTTTTGTCATAACGGCCCTCCAAGGGAAACTGTAACTAAAATCAGGCCCGCCACAAAAATGAGTTTGACACCCCTGATTTTGAGCTTTCATAACGGCTGCAACAACAACAATAACAAAGCGCTTTACAGAACATTTAAAGTATTACGTCCAAGAAATCTGAATATTGATCCATATATAAGGCGCATCGGATTACGAGACGCACTGTCAGCTTTTGAGAAAATCGACTGCTTTTAGGTGCGCCTTATAGTGCGGAAAATACGGTACTCTAATTTCTATGTATTTAAACATCTGAATCGAAATAAGTGGATTGGTTGAAGACAAAAAAATATGGATTTGAGTTTGGGAGGAAAACAATACTGTCACATGTATGCCTGACCTGTAACATTTTTTTTTCTCCAAATGATTCCAGCACATTTGCTCATTGTCAAACAGGAAATGCAACAATCTGCAACTGACAACGGTGTTTGGTCATAAGTGCTCATGTAAACGGAATGTCACACCAAGGCCTTCTTCATACAAAACCTCTCCCTCCCAAATGAGAGGAGTTGATTCATTAATAGTACTGACTGTATCATATATCCGAAATAAACTTTCACCTCTAATCACTTAGTACTGTTATCCACCACTGGATCTCACTATTATAATCATTGTTACATCATCAATATATTTTTTTTACACTGCTGTTTCTTTGTGACGTTATTAAAGTGTCTTTTTACACTTTACATATGTGATCAGAGATGAAAGTGGACTTTTCTGAAAATTCCGGAAAAAAAAAAAAAATTATATATATATATCGCACTTGGCCGATCACGCATGAATTAGTTTACGCAAAACGCTATTCAAATACTCGACATTCAATGATTAATCTTCCTTTTGTGTGCACACGTGTACCCTTTGTAGCTTCCGTTCGGGCCGAAATTTCGAAATCTCCGAGATATGGCGAGGCCATGAGAATGCGAGGCGAGGGTATTACTGTTGTGGCGACGCCACTCAAACTAAGCGAGGCTAAG